TGATTTTGAAATTGCATCAAAATCACAGCAAGGTGGCTCAGTGTTGAAGGGAGTACTAAAAATGGTAGGTTAGAGCAGTAAGTAATTACTGGGCCTCACATTCATCGCTGGAATAGTACTTTCTTCTAAGTCATCTCTTTAGAATACTGAATTCAGAAAATGATGTGTTAACTGTAGAGTTCTAACTTATATTGTCTGTGTTGCTGTGTATCCTTCGAAGAAGCGTCCTCCCGCCACAGATGAAGTCCAAACACATGTGCCCTAGTGCAAAATGTGAAAAAAAGCGACTACGTACGACCCGGACTCTGAATCGTCCTGACTAGATCTTACATTGACCCATTGTGAGGATGATGTCATGAAACTCGATTACATGCCACCCATACGTAAAAGCGATCACGCAGTCCTAAAGTTTAACCTTCATATAGTTATCAAAAACTAGCACTCTTCGGCACAACCTAGACTTTGTGTCTGGGAAGCAAATATAAAACATATTATACACTCAGCATTGTCAGTGAATTGGACAATAGAGCCGGAGTCCCCAAATAAAAAGGCTTGGGATGTACTTCGACATTCGTACTTCAAAGTTAACACACCCCACATTCCTCGGACCACACCAGGGAGTGAGAGAAACTTTCCACCATGGTTCAGTAGGAAGGTTCGCACTGTTCTCTGTAAGGGGAGAAGAATGTGTGATAGATTTAGGTTGCTGAGCACTGATGGGACAAAATCCCAATATCGAGAAGTTCAAAATAATGATACGAACTTGGAAACACAGTATCTACCGTCAAAGTTCAGAAATACAGATCGAAAACTCGGAAAAACTTCTTTCTCATCAGGCATGCAATAATATGGAACAGTCCTCCCTCCAAAATACGCATGGCAGATGAATTACATACGTTTGTAAAACTCCTTGATCAAGCTCTCACTTGCACTGATCTAGCACGTACGAACACATCTGCTCTCCACTCAGGCATCATAGGCTCTCTCCATGTCTAGACCAAAAAGGACATCAAGTTCAGTTTGCCTTATTTTTCCTATTTTGCAGTTGTATTAGCTACTTTTTCCACCCTATTTCTTCACTTGAGTTAGACAGGTAACTCACTGAACCTATCGATACTGTTCAACTAAACTCGGTTGCTAAGGGACACTCAATACCTTCCTAAAAACTCAAGAGGACCGCAGTCGACTGCCTACTACCAGTGGTCTTGCATCCATGGAGCATGTTACCCATCAACTGGTTATGATAACACAAAATAACATCATCATCAAGTTAGTGTGAGTTTTTTCCTGTTTATTCTTTATTATCTCTCTACTCTCTAGTACACTATGCTGACTAGTAATTAATATTATTTCTTCACTCGTTACCTTATCTATGACTCATGTACCTCTATACTTTTTCGCCTGCTTTAGTAAACAACTAAACTACATTATATCCTTCTTAATGCTTATACTCTGATTGGCAAACTATGCTTTATACTATAGTCAATAGAAACACTGCATTGATACCTTACCCACAGTCCATAACTTGTAAGCTTGTAAAATGGTACTTACAGAAATAATGTCTTCCAACAGATTGTGAAATACTGAGGATTTTGTAAGGTATGACATATCCAAAAACCGAATTCGAGGTTTAGACTATTCCAGGAACTAAAATTTCACAGCGTGCCAAGACAGACCTCTCTGAGAGGCCAGTCATTTTTCATAAGTTAAGAGAATCTTCCGATAAGGAATCAAAGGTCAGATTTGAGCACGGTCTTATTCATATTAAGTCCTGAATAAGCAAGCTACCACTAGAAACAGGCACGGGGCTTGGCATCCGTAAGCTTTATGGAATAAGAGAAAAGGTGGATTCTGAAAGTGCTCAGAAAATCCGCCTCTTGAAGGTTACCTTTGCTATGGTTGAAGTATGAAACCTGATTCTAGGAACCTCACGCGAACTGGTTGGATCCGAAATATACGTCTGTGAGGATCTCAGCCTCGTTGTGTGTATTAATAGATGAGCTGCAGAAGTAGAAATAAATGAGCGCCACCGAGACGGTGGAAGAAACCTCGTACTTAAGGGTTTTCAAGTCGTAAAACTTTGGAGCAAAACAATCCTCATACCACAATGGGTGGCAGGGGAAAGTTCTCCACAAATTGAAGGTGTGCTACACAAATGGCGGAGCTCGAGACAATGGTGGATAAAGAAAATCCGGGTGTTGTTGCTGTCTTCGAAACATGATTAACCTCAGGATTAAACCGTAGAGGAGGCGACGTTATCCTATACACAAAAAGTACCTTAGCCATACGAACTGTTGAAACAGTGTCACATGATTCAGGGACATGGGGTACGGTGCGCTGCAGGCTGAAATGTAGACTGCAAGGTATTGAATTAGTTGTAGTATACCACAGTGCAGAATGTGTGGTGGATGACGTTTTCCTAAAAAAAACTTAAGTCCTGGTGTAATGTGAGTAAAAGCCTTATAGTAGGCGACTTTAATGCACCGTATATAAACTGGGTAAACTTAGAAGTAGGGTCGTCGATAACGTCAGTTGATTGCAAACTGTTAGAAATCCTAATTGCACTAGCTTTATTACAGCACATTAGAGATCCCACCAGACATGACCTATAGAGCTCCTCGTCTCTCTTGGGCTTAGTCTTCACATACGGTGATGGTGTCGGTTAAATGACTTTCCTATCACCTTCAGGGAGAAGTGATCATGAAGTCATCTTATTCAAGCTTATGGCTGAGATGGCCTGTCGAACAGTTGCGCCGGCCTGTCCTGACATATGGAATGCAGATATGGAGGCGATAAACTCTGCAGCATCAGCTGAAAACTGGGTTATTGATTCAGGGGCATAAGTAGAAGAGGCATAGACTCATCTCAAGCAGTTATACAACCAGGTAACTCAACCATATGTACCCTGGATAGACCTCCATATTCAACGTTTACTAGGACAAAGGAAATGTTGGAACGTTGCCATCAGACTTGGCACAGCGAGTACTATGGAACTCTACGCGTCGGTAAAAAAGAAGTGTACAATTAGAATCCGGAAAACTCGGGGAAAATAAGAAATGCAGTTGGCACAATCTTCACTCAAATAGCCTAAGAGACTAATGCCGTATATAAATTACAGAACAAGGATGCAGCATGGGATTCCCAAACTAATTAAGTGATGGAGTGGATATGAAATGATAGAGGGTGATCAAGAATAAGCAGTTTTCACTGAGGAGCCTCTTTTGGACGAAGAACTAGACCCAAATGCAAAGTCAACAAACCGTCTGCTCACCGTGGACTTAAGGCTCTTAGCACTTTAGACACGGGAAAGTCAACAGGACCGAATGAACTACATCCCAAAATCCTGAGACAAACTGCACACTAACTGCGATGTTCAGTATATCACTTGACCAAGGTGTGTTATCTATGGACTGGTACGATGAAATTGTCACTCCCATATATATAACAGGACCAAGACAACTTCCACCAAACTATAGACCTGTCAGCCTTACCTGTGTCGCAGCTAAAATACTGGGAAGAATAGTCAGAAAGACCATAGTGATATTTGTGGAAACCAACAACTTGTTAAACAGAGAACATCACGGTTTCAGAAAATTTATCTTGCGTAACATACCTCCTTATAGCAAATGATCAATGGAAAGTCAGTGGATGTTGTCTACATAGACTTCAGCAAAGCACGTGATAAGGTATAAACAAATAGACTGTCCTTGAAGTTAGAAAATCTTGGCATTAGCGGACCTCTCCTAAAATGGCTTAAGGATTTCCTGGTAGATCATGGACAGAAAGTAAGAGTGAATTCCAAGTACCCTAACTGGATACCAGTACTTAGTGGAGTTCCGCAGGAATCTGTTTCTTAGGTCATTTACTTTTTGTACTGTATTTAAATGAACTCTCAAGTATAGCTGAGTACGCGATGTTGTTATACGCTGACGACATAAAAAAAAGATGCATGTACACTTCAGGTAGACTTAAATAATGTGATTAACTAGTCTAAAGAGAAGCTGATACCTATCAACGCAAGAAATGTGTTTACATGCACTTTGGGGATACAAAGATTAATAGGCACAGCATAAAGGAAGCGCCTGTACCCATGGTCCGGCCTCATAAGGATCTTAAGGTGACAGGGAGTCATGATCTTAAGACCACGGTTCATTGCTGGTTGATTGCGGCTAAGGGGTTTGGAACCCTATGGGCTTTAAAACGGACATCCACCAAGTCAGATACTACTATATTCACTACAGTATACACAAACATAGTGAGAACTAGGCTTGAGAACTGCGTTTATACTGCAAGCCCCTGTTTAAAAGGTGACTCGGGTATCCTGGTAAAAGTACAGAGGGTAGCTATCCAAGCAATTAAAAAACTACGGGGCTTACCATACGAAGAGCGGCTTGAAAAGCTGGACTTCTTTACTCTGTCTTATCGCAGACTAAAGGGACCTAGCATATCTACTCTTTTTCCTCCAACTAGATTGGGACATCTCAGAGAAACAATCAAAATACCCATATCATACAGGTTTTCACACCGAGTCATCAATCCTCGGAACCTGTTACCCAAAGCAGTGGTGTCCGCACCTCCAAATGATTCGTTCAAGGGAAGACTGGAAACTCATAGAGGCATAATAGAAAAGGAATAACATAGGCTGTAGGCCTTCTGTCCTTACTACATTAATCTGAATCCGATCATTCACTTTCCCATCGAATCATCAACGAGTGGAATGCATCACCTCAACACATGATTGAAGGTCCATCCGTCAACTCTTCCAAAAGAAAGTTGGATCAACTGAGAGACCATCATTGCCAGGTCTAATACAGGGACATAGCCTCTTGTCACTTCCAAACTGAAACCGTAGGATAGAATAGAGTTCTAACCAAGAAATTGCGATTCGGAGTTATAATAAAACATACATACGGTTAGCAACGTTAGGTTGTACTGATCAGAAAATCATTCAGTCATATCCGTACAATTAAATGCAAAATATCGCGTAATCTAGAGGATTTCCATTGGACACTGTTTGTTACTGCGGGTTGTTTGGTTCTCGTTAACCTGATTGGCTTGTTGCGTATGGGTTTGTCCCTTAGGAGATGACCTCATCAATGGTATGTACAGTCTTTTTAAGTTTATCTTGGCTTCCGACCCCAGTTTAACATATAATATAGATTACAGAGTTTTTAAAACTTTGCTGTTCCCAAATTAACTTTTAATCTGACTGTGTGAAGCAGTTGAGTTTATATTAAAGAATTTCTCACTAGTATGCCTTCATAAAAGACCACAACGTCATTTAACTCTGTGATCGTACCATGAGTAAAAGAACATTAACAGGCAGTTTGATCATTAGCTCCGGACTTTATTTTTTAGTTTGTGAGTTTTGTACTAAACCCAAAAGATACACATTCGTACCTTCTGCAGTATGTTCAGGTAATAAGGTATTTTCCTTCAAAATCTTGGTTGCGTAAGTTAGTTGGTTCTTTATAAATCGCAAGGCAAGGCATAGTCTGTTACTCACTGTAAATAAACGAAAACGTTTTAGTCGATTATCGATCAACATTAACTTCCATGTACTTTGTATGCTTGGTACATGTTAAGCCAATGGTCGATATCTTGCTGAAAAGTGCATCCTTTTTATGAATGTTTTCACATGTCTCAAAGTAATTCTAATGTAGTAGCTTTGACTGATGTGGCGTATATATATTTGGTGCCCCCTTGTACCAATGTTTGTGTTCAAATAACTAAATAAATAAGCTTTGGCTAAAAACGAAACCCTTAAATATTACAACTGGTTATAGTAAGTAAATATTACCTTTAAGATACATGTTGAACTTGGTTTTTGGGAGCCAGAAATCCTACCATTGGTCGATAATTTTGCCGAGCTTTTGAGTTCATAACTTTGAAAGAGCTCTAGATGAGTTGTTATTCAATGGAAATAAATAATTGCAAATTAAATCCATTCCTCAGTAAAATTCAATGATAATACGTAGTTTTAAATTCTTCTGATCTCTAAGATCAAAGTAGGTGAACATCAGTCAAATAAGATTGTAGTCAAACTTAAATTAATCTGTGGTAGCTCAGTTATGCTTACTGACTTCACCTAAACCTAAATGTGATATAAGTTAGTTATGGTGTGGAATTCTAAGGATTCAGTGATTAAAATCAGGAAGCGGGATAGTGGTCTGTAGACAAAACATAATGGTACTGTGTGTCTGAGCGATGAATGCTCACGATAACATAGTTTACTCATGCCTCCGAATGATTTGTAACGTGACAAGGACATTAGCCAGAAGAATAGGCTTTCTTTGTAAAGAAGTGGCATGCTTATTTGTATAGTAGTCGCAAAATAACTATAACAAAATGTCTCAGATAATGGGGAAAACTTAATTTGTACGTCTCCCTCCATTCAATTAAGGTTTGATTGTTAGGACTGGTCCTTCAAGATCATGACACCTCCGTGAAATGATTTCTGATCCTTTCGTAGTAACATTGGGTAAAAGGTGATACCTTTAACATACTTCATTTTTTTCCTCTTAGAGACCATGCTTTCAGTCCTCTTATCGACCTTACCCACCGTTGTGGTCCTGTGAATCCCATCGGGATTACATGGTCATTTGATCCTTATATTTTGCTCATTTTAGCAAATACTGAAAAGATTAACTTACATCTAGAAATGTAAGGGGATTAGGACTGGAAATAATAAAGTAGTCGGATGAAATAAATTTGTAAATTATCATTTGATTTATTCACTTTCGTCAACTCATCTAATCATTTGCAAACTTTTAGGGAGCTTTTAATCTCACTAATTTTTTATTTAGGGATATGATATTTCACTACTGCTCAAAAATTGTTTCTGTTATATTTAGATGTCATCCCGTCTAGTGGAAACTGTTATGATTAATGTGGACGACTTCGCAGATAATTTTTTGACGTGTGGTACGTGTTTCAGTGGTTATAATTCAAGTGAACGTGCTGCCAAATTATTACCTTGTTCACACACAATATGCCGTTCGTGTTTAGATCGAATCCTTACAAATGAAGTAAGTCCTAGCTGTCACTTCCAATAATTTTATTCATACTCTAAGCCTTTAATATAGCTTTTTCATTTAGTCATATTTCAGCATAATCTGTGTTGTAAGAAATATCCTCAGCCATACGGCTTTTCTACATCATCAGGTTGGAATTTCATATTCCTCAGCACAAGGTTTCACTGATAGATTCGTCTCAATTGAAATCGCCCTCTGTCTGATCCAGGAAATGTTTCTGTTCGAGGATCATAATTTTATGTTCGTTTTATAGAGTTCACTATCGTGTTGCAAATATTTCCTTACCAAACTAGAGGAACCTCACCAGCTCTAATTTCGTGAAAAAGTTCAGCTTGCTTAAATGTATATAAGGATTACTGCCGTTAATCTTCTAGGTAAACAAGTATTCAGCTTTCATGCTTTGGGTCTTTTAACGTCTGACGACGATGAGTCGTATTGGAAAATAAATCGTTAATACGGACCTTTACTTTTTACTGTTAACGTCATACCCCTTATTTCGGTCTTGTTTTATCGTTATGATTTTCATGTGAATTGTATCAACTAAGTATTAATTAGTGTTCACTGAATGCTAATCAGTAACTAGTTGTTGTGGTGCTTAATTGTTGATTGTCATGAAGAGGATGACATCTCGTATCCCTAATTCCAAATATTTAGTAGGACTTGAAAGTAATATTGCGAGATTATTAGTTTGATACGGACTCATATCTTCATTGTTCAGTAACTGTTAATAAAACCCTACAGATGTATAAAATACTCACATGTAATTATCTACTAACTATTAACTGCGATAAAATCACTTTGAATTTGTAATTTTGTTTGAATCTGTTTTTCACACATTTTTTTCATACGGCGTAAAATAAAACAACTTGAAGAATGATTACTCTCTAAGTAATTTTGAATTTATGTCTATTTTTTTAGACTCAGTCAGAGACATTTCGTTGTCCAATTTGCCGGGAGAATATTGCTATTCCATCAGGTGGTGCAGCCTCATTTCCTCCGGCTTTTATAGTAAATCAGTTATTAGACCTACTTGCTACCCATCGTCGAGATGTTGTACCTAAATGTTGTATACATCCATCACAAGAACTATTATTTTGTGAGACTTGTGATATGGTATTTTGCAGTGAATGCCGAGGTCGTAATCATGCTGTTCAAAATCATGTGAATGGTAATGGAGAATATTGATTCCTTTAAATGAATTTGTTAACTTTTTAGACTCATCATGTTTGCCAGTGAACAATGGAAATCAAGATATTACTACACAAGTAGAAAGTTCATCGTCGAATACTGGCCTAAATCATAATGTGATCACATTCAACGTTGCACTAAAACGTTGTTCAGAAATTATGCTCTATAAAATGCATTTATGTACTCAAGAGTTAAATTGTGCTCAAGAAGCCGTAACAAGTGAACTAGAACGTTTAACAAATAATACTAGTTCATGTGTTGAAGTAAGTCGTTAGATTTAAAGAAAAACATTCAACTTCGTGTTGGATAAAATGAATCTCTAGCTGTTGAGGGTTATGAGGAAATAATTTAAATTTATAAGTAAAATTTGTTATAATTAACTAGTTTTCATTCTTCATGAACATTCATTTTAGTGTCTACATGTTATGATGCAAATGCCATAACATTGTATTTTACCTTTATTTAATTAAACACAAACAACTCAGTAATATAAAAAATACCTGTTCTCAATGATTTAAATGAGACTTTAGCTCGTGTATTGTGACTATCAATCAATCCGAATACGAATGTATCATGCGTAATATTAGTGCTGTATAACGTCTGAATTTTACTTTTGCTGGTATAAAATAGTTTTTTCTGTCCTGTCAACTCTTTTCAACTTGAAACAATAAAACGTCTACAATGTCGGTTTTAGTTTAACAGAAGTCTCGTTTTGAGTTTATTTCTATGGAAAGGTTTATTGTTGACCGCGCTAAGCGAACACCTGAATAATTTACCTTTAAAATAGTGGATATTTGTAGCTCAAGGGGATAGTTTTTGTCAATTCATATCGTTTGAGCTGAGTGGCTTAATCGTAAAGCTGTCATTGTCTTTTCAGATAATATTGGCACAAACTAGTTTTACATTCTGGCTGTCAAACAGCTAGTTGCGGTGGATAGTATGCATTAATTTCATGTACTCAATCATAAATCCTGACTGGGTATGGTGGAATGTCTTTATTTATTTGTTTATTTGAACATATAAATACTGGTACAAAGGGGCACCGAATACATATGCGCCACACAAATATCATTTGATATGTGTAAGGGCTGTGATACTACCCAGGTACCCAAACCGAAACAGGTGGTTTTCTTAGGGGCCACACCCCGAGCCTTCGGCCTGAAAGATCTGATCCACAAGGTAGTGGAGCAACGTCAGGAGATGCAGTCCCATGGTAGCCGGTGACCAACGATTGGTTCATACGCCATTTGTTCCTTCAGGATACTGGAGCCCATGTACAGCCTTGGTTTGGAATCAGGGTTTTCCAACTCCCCTAGGTGGACTCTCCGTGTCCACCAACCCAATCAAAGCGCTGGACATTCGCTTTTCGTTCTCTCGATTTCGTAAACAACACCCATGCCACGAAAAAGCAGTGAGTAGGACTTCCCTGGCAGGGGCCATGTGAGAGCATTTCGAGAGGGAGAGCGAACTCTCTCTACTCTCGGCCGTATCAGAGCATTTGTGGGCGGTGGAATGTTTAATTGAACAACAGTAACTTGAAGGGTTGAGTGCTGAGTTAAGGTGATAAATAAAATTAATAAGATTGTGAAGCCTAATCAGATGTATGTTTCGAGACATAATCCGAATTCAGTCATCACAGTGGAGCATTCGCTCTGTGGTTAGGGGATTTGACTTTCATTAGCTGGTTCTGACACCGCCCCACCTAGTTCAGTTTGGATAATCAGTTGGTATCACTAGCCCACACACTAACAGTAGGACTCAAAGTCAAGTAAACGAACTTTTACATGGTAAATAAGACAATAAAATAATAAAAAAACTATTCATCACTCACCGTACTATATTGATCGACTTAGTATTGAGTTAGAAAATGGATAATGGTGGTCTGGCCAAAACATAATATGCGTTCATGAATCCTTTGAGCATTGATCTAACTAATGTAGTCAGGTAGCCGTTTCCCAATTATTAACCGTAGTTGTAAACTTCAGGCACTAAGGTTGGGCATCAGTCTTAAAAGTTCGGACGTATCCATCCTCCATCGTACTTATTGTATATACTTTGTTGTGTTGTTCGTTTTGGTCCTCTGACAGTGTTAATATGATCACTTCCGTCTTTTCTTTTTCTTTATCACTGTATGAATTATGGCAAGTTGGATCAACAAATATATTTGCTAATTCTTATACTTCTCGTTTTTTCCTTCTCTCTCTTGCCTAAAACTTTTTTCTGTTATCAACACCTAATCTTGTGTTTATCCTTTCGTTCTTCTATTCATAATTTTCTAAATCTGAATTCGGCTCGTAAACGTTTTAAGGTGATAGTGGCTGGCAGAAAATCCAAATATAATTCTTGGCATAATCACTGGAAACATTAAGCTGTATGGATAACCCTGACCCTTTTCATTTGGTTTTTGGCTGCAGTTTTCTCGAATGCTTCGGGATATATTCCCCTTTCATATCATATGATTTAAATGTAGGTGCTGTTAATTATCATTGATAAAGGATGGAATTATAGGTTTATAGTAACAACATAAACTTATTACTTTTCGGAACAATTTTCCATATTAAGTATGCGGATAATATCTTTTCACGTATAGTGAGATTGGTTGATATGTCGTTGTAAGTAGTCAAAAAGCCTGTGTTTTAAGGTAGTATGATTGCTGTTTCTGTTGTAAAACACTCAAGTAATTTTCGTTTAACAAAACTAGTGTGGTGTATGCCAATATAGGCTGTTTTTCGATACAGTTGTAACGTCTATTTGAGCTCTAATGATCAGAAGTGTAACGCTTTGTTTTTCAAAGTTTCACGTCTTCAAAACGTTGCAGTTCTAGGATAACGTAATTTTTCGGATGCCTTTATAGTTCAGTTCATATTCATTGATATCAGCATAAAAGTAATGTTAAAGTTATATGGTGTATGTTTAAAGGCAGTGGAGATAATTTCTTCATAAATGATGTCATTCTACAGCGCATTTTCTGTAATCTGTATGCTTTTGTTCACATTATCTCACCGACTATCATATCAATCATTGTTTATTGGTACAAACTAGTTATAAAACAGACGGATGGTCGATTTATGACTTCTTTTAGGATGAATCATCATTCTTTTGAGTTAATATGTCAGCCAGTGCTGTTTCTCTCTTTCTGATTGTTATCACTCTTCATAGATATATGTTTTCACATTTCATTATATTACATTTTTTAGTTCCTTCAATACGTAGTCCCTTATTATTTATTTCATCCATTCTAGTCTATTAACTCACGTTTTTCTGAGATATTGGCACTCGTTGAACATCGTCAAGGAGAATTATTAGACTGTGTGAAACGACTTGGAGAAGAAAAACGACGTGCCTTAACAGATCAACTTTCTTTAATTGAAACAGAAAGAGACTTAATTCGTACAGAATGTGATCGTTTAAAGGGCGTTGTAAGTAATCTTTTTTTGTTTAATTGTTTCATAATTTACTGACTAGCAATACCCCAGTTATTCTGTTCGGTTCTTGTTAAAATTTACTGGTTGACCAGTCATTTTGACTGAATTGTTTGTTTTCGATTGTTTAACACTTAATAACATCCACTATTTTTTGCATCTAACGTTGCATTAGGTTACTAGGCTGTAGGTACTCTTCTAAGTAAATCAGTTTCGCTATTACTTAAACGTTCATGGACTAGACTGTGAGCCATGTGATGAGAAATTAAGGCTAATATCAATCACATCTCTTAACCTAAGCTTGTTTAATTAAAGGATATGCTAACTAAGACATCCTTCAGTCTAATGTTAGCACAGAAAAGGTCGTAACTGAATAAACATACTATCCACACTATTGACAATAAATGTCAACTGTATAAAACATGATTGACAGAAATTCTGGTTTATTTTTCATGTACATACATCGTATCATTTTAGGCAGTATTTGATTATAAGTTAAAAAGTTGACCACCTTATTTATTATTTTGTCATTAGGAATAAAATAGTTAGTTCATTTCATCATATCATTTTTTTGACATCTAATTTGAATTGGCAATCTTTAGGAATTACATAGACTGTTCACTTGATTGGTTAGAATCACTTATAATTTATCTCAAGGTTATAACTACGGTCATAAAAATCAGTTAGTGGTCGACTTATTTCATATCTTTACCTTTCGGATGATATTTGCTTGCAAGGCTGTATTTCAGAATTCATCAACATTCCTTGTCATCTCTTACCTCGAATCCTCAGTCATACTGTGGTGTGTGCTACTTATATTGATATAAGTAATATATGACGTTACTCGTGAACAGAATGTCTGGAAGCAGAGAGACAAGAGGATCGAGCAGTAAAGAATGGGAACATAATGCAATTTGTATGAAAATGTAAGAACAATGAAGTCTGAGTCATTATGAGACAGTTGAATAACATTTTGCAAATTACATATTTACTATTTGATTGTTAGATTTTATTAACAAGTCCTGTAATTTTGTGTCAAATACATTCGATTGTCCCCACTGGTGTTCTGCTCACTACAATACTTTTTCCTCTTGAACTGTGTAACACATTTCCAGATTTCTATTGCTTTCAATATTACTTCCCCATCTTATACTTATCTTGTTAATTTCTTCCCACTGTGCCGATGTGATACCAGATGTGGGTTCTAGAACTAATATTAAATCTCTCGTTGGTACTGGTTGACTGACTGACTGTCTTACCCAAAATGTCTACATCATAATATCTTTAGTGCACATGTGCGACTTTAAGGAAAGGTCTGCGACACCAATTTACTGCCATACTATCAAATGGCGGGAAATTACCATTTACAAATTTTTAAATCGGTTGTATAAGGACAAGAAGTTCTGTCCAACTGTTATAAAAAGTAGGTGATTTAACTGTAATCCTGTGAACAAAAAAAAATTCACAAATGTCATAGAAATTATTCTTTCTTTGTTTAAAACGCAAACAGAAAGACGAAGTAGACCTAACAAATATAGACTAATATCATCGCTATTTAGTTATAGTATTAGTTGTTAATGTAAGTCACCAAGAACGAAATGTATGCAGTAAGACTACTTTTGCATATTAATAAGTTATTATTTTGTTTTATGTAGTTTTGTTTTATGAGGATTGTCAAATTTTGATGGTCTACATTGCAAACCAACTGTATTTAGACAACAGTTGCTAAATATGAAGGGCTGGACAGCTGCTTCACTTTAGTGCGAGACTCAGCAGTGTGTATTCACGACCGCACTGGTGAAGGGACCATGGGATTTCAACTCTCTTGACGACCCATTAGCCTTTGAACCAGTGGATCGGCTCACTTCTAAAGAGTTCTATAATATGACGGAATAGCCTTCCACTGCTTTCTAGAGTAGACCGACGGGCTTTGATGAGTTGTAAGGAGCCTGAAGAAACCCAGTGCTTAAAAACGGGACGTTTCATGGTGTCATACAGTTGCGACCAATGCTCATCTATACTTTTCGGTGGAATGGTAGCTAGCCTAGAAACTAGCTCGGTTCGATATTTACTAGCAACAGAAGTTGCAACCAACTTGCTAATATCAATCCTTTGGTGGTGGTCACTTCGTTGGCCACTGAAAAGTAAAGTAAGATTGGCGCAGACCAAGGCATGGTCAGAGTCCAGATAGGTACTCCAAAAGGAGCGGCAGTCTTGTACACAACCACGCCTGCGGTAGCTGATCGCGATGTGATCAATCTGAGTCCAGGCTTGAGATGCAGAGCGAGGACGCCAGGTGGCACATCGGCGATGACTGCACCGAAAGTTAGTGCTGGCCAGAAACAGGTTGTGGTCTGTGCACAGTTGCAGTAGACGGTCCCCGTTATCTGTCCCGCGACTAACTAGTCCCTATAGGCCACCTAAACGACTCTCTTCTGTGCCTAGACGCCCGACCTGAGCATTCAAGTCTCCGGCTAGTACTACAATATCTGTCGAACGCACTTTTTGGAGAACAGTTAACTGGTGATAGGATTCATCCCTGATTGCATCCGGGCTGCAATCTGTCGGGGCATAGGCGGAGGTGACGAAAAGACATCGTTTCTCACGCCGATTTCTTCTCACTTTGATGGAACTTTCTAATCTAACAGCACATAACCGACTGTTAATGGGGATCCAATCGATTAATGCTGCCTCAGCTCTAGCGCTTAGTGCGACACCAACGCCAGCAAGACCAGACGAAGATGCCACAGGGTCCCCGGATAAGCGCACGTAAAATAAGCTTTTTGAAGTGACAGATAGAGAGCGAATTTGTAGTACTTCACCAGAGTCTTGAATACGGGTCTCGGATAGACAACAAACGTCGATATTAAGACTTTCCAAAGACATAGCCAGCCCTATCTGTTGTCCGACCTGCATAAGTGTGCAAACGTTGAAGGCGGTCAGTTTGAATGGTTCACGTGGTCTCAAGAAAACTGCTTTAGCATTCGTATTTGGATGGTAGCATACAATTTTCAACCAGGCAGTGACTCGAGAACGTTTAGGTAGAACCGACTTTCCACCATAGGCGAGTTGCTGTATAGGTCGAAAAATAAGGATACATAAAGTGGGAATAAAAAAGAGTGAATAAATGACGTGGTAAATAATAATAATAATAATAATAATAATAATAATAATAATAATAATAATAATAGTAATGATAATAATGACAATAATAATAATAATAATGTGAATTGTTTGACTGTAAATCGAAGCGAGAATAGAATTTTCAGTAAATATAATCATTTTCATTTTATTTATGTGTGGGCTGTGATACTGCCCAGGTGCCCGGACCGAAACAGGTGGTTTTTTTAGGGGACCACACCCCGAGCCTTTGACCTGAAGGTCTGACTCACAAGGCAGTGGATCATCGTGAGGAGATGCAGTCCCCTGGTAGCCGGTGACCAACGATTGGTTCATACGCCATTTGTTCCTTCAGGATACTGGAGCCCATGTGCACCATTGGTTTGTGATCCGGTTAAAGCTCTGGACATTCGCTTTTCGTCCTCTCATTTTCGTAGGCAACATCCTGGCATAGGTTGTATACGCGTGGCCATGTGAGAGCATTTCGAGAGGGAGGGCGGGTCCTCCCAACTCTTGTCCATACCAGGGCATTTGGGGGCATTTCATAATAATATTGTCAAAATAATAGAAATCGCTTCTCACTTTCCTTTGTTCCTTTTGTAAGTGTAAAAACTATCATCTGTATATTTCTCCTTCAAATTTTATACCCTATTTATTCGTCCATTTCGATTTGATAAATGTCTGATGAATAAAGTTGATCAGATTTTTACCACTCTATTGGTGTAACATACTGTCGGTCAAATAATGACTAAGTTCAACTTCTAATTAATTAAGTTTCAGAAGACCGCATGGTTAACCAGTAAACTTTTTTCACCGAGTAGATCACTAATTTATGGATAATTATGAAACCTAGGAGATATGTTTTTTCAAAAGTTACTTCATATACATTGGTTGGCGGAGCCAAGATAACGAAAAGTCGTTAACTTTCCATTTATTTTAGGCTAATGTCTAACAACTATCAGTTTCATTCTCTTAGGTCGCTCTTTGTCGTTTTGTTTATGGGTTTTACCATATATCATAATTTCAATCAATTTACTCAAGTTTATACGTATAAATTGCATAATTTTTAATGTGATAATATTTCCGTGTACTTTTCGCACTTTCCTTTCAATCTTCAGATGGATGTGCGAAGTATTACAAAAACAATAAGTTACCTGAATGATAAATTGGACTCGATTAGTGGTTTAACTGAACCTCGTGAAAATGCCTTCCTTTGTTATCAAGACTGTGTCGGTCCATACAATCAACATAATCATATAAACATGTGTTGTACTGCCTCGAAACGCACCATATGTTCATCATCCCCATCAGTTACAAATTATAATGAATCAGACTCACCATCCTCTTCATCTTATCATCGTAATCATCATCAAAGATCGAATGTGTCTTCTTCAACAACTCTTCAGTCTTCTCCTCATCAAGTTAGCCTTCCTGATATTGCTCGTTGTCTTGCTGGCTTTGGTCGTTTAGTTGTTAGTACAACTTACCCTGCATTATGTACTGCTCGTTTACCAAATGAAATGTTTACCCATCTGTATACTAAAGTAAGTATTTTTTCTTTTAGCATGCTTTTATTATATGACTTTGCGTTTTATCTATATAAACTGATAATCACATAGATTTGTTGTAGGAAATGTGATTAATGTTTACCATTATTTGCCAGTATAAGTTATGTTCAGTAAATCGTATTAGTACATATATAATCACTAGCCTAAATGATGCAGCAATATTTCCAAGTATTTGTTTACAGTTAATTGTAGGTTCTAGACATAGTTTTCTTGCATGGTAGCATCCATCTTCAAGGTACTTTTAAAACACTGAGGAAGATTTGTAAAAACGTATATTTTCGTATGCATTGCATTAGTCATGTTGGTAGATTCAGATTACTTGATTTGGGTCCGCGTGACCATCGTAACCAATGGTTGGAGACTCTGGGTGACATGACTTAGAATCGATCACAATGGCATATGTGTATACACTATCTATCTTCCCTCAAATCGTGGTATTAAGATTGCTTTATATCTTTCTTTCTACGAAATAATTCTTTCTTCCTGTACTATATTCTTATACACAATCTTTCTTTTATACAATAGTACCATTGAAGTGATTATTTCTATGAATTCGGTGTTCTTCTTTTTGCGCTAATGAGGTATGGCAACTTGGACCGATGCATATATGTGCCTGGCCCTACGTTGTAGCTGACTGACTGATTGCATTATTCAAAGATGTCATATTGTAGTCCGATGATGACATGTTCGGCTGGTTATTGATACAATGGGAAAAGATATTAAGTAATTCAAGAGCGAGTGATCTACTAAATTCTTTTCAATCGTTTATAATAATTTATTAAGTGTACTTTGTATATAAGCATGAAACTTTCTTGTATAAAAATATTTATTTTCCTGACCGTTTTTAATCTAAAATCATTTGGAGGCTTGTGTTAGTCATTCGTTTTCATTAGCAGGCACCACTCATCCGTTTCGTATCACTGCATATCATCAGTTGGTAGGGATTATGCTCACTGAGTTTCACAGTAAAAATCCCGTTCATAAAAACTGTCGTATCAAAGAGGATTTGTGTAGGGTTAAACTTTCAGAACTGTCCTACGGGAAATTATCGTTTGTATTTTTGCGGTTATTAAATTCTTATTTATTTATTTGAACACCTAAATATTGGTACAAGAGAGCGCAAATATATATGCGCCACACAAAACAATGAGAATTCGAAGAGAAATAGAAAAAAAAGAGAACAATAACGAAGAGATTGGTGTAAGGTAGTGTGGTAGTAATGAGGGAACGCAAAGGTACAATCGGAAGAAATCTTTCAGGTAAGGGAGACACAACCACTTTTTATGAAGAAAGTAAAAGAAGATTACAGCAGGATCGCCACTGGCTTCTATTCTGAGCCATATCTGATAACGTCTCTAGCCACTGTGTTGCACCATCTCTCAGACCCCAACCAGGGAGTCGTGAAGGACCGACACAAGCCAGTCCTTTGCAGCTTTCTTCCATACCACAACACCATGTCATGCACTGACCACCTCTCCGCTTCTTCCAACCAGTCCCAGAGTCGGCAAATAATGCACGACGTGGAATTCTGTGGGACGACATTCGTAGAACATGTCCAAGCCACCGAAGTCGGCGTTTCAAGATGGTGACACCAATTGAATTATCATCTCTGTGCCCGAACACACTATGCCGAACCTCTGCATTACTGACATGGTGTTGCCACTGAATGTCAGCAATCCTTCGGAGACAGCGATGATCGAACACAGAGAGTCGTCTAACGTCCTCAACTCAGAGAGGCCGGGTTTCACAAACATAGAGCAAAACTGCTCTCACCGACGCGTTGTAGATCCGACCTTTTACGGCCAGACTAACATCACGAAGGCGCCAAAGGTGGCCCACATTGGCATAAGCCGCTCTGGCTTTCACTATACGTGCATTGATCTCATCACTCACACCCCCACCAGCACTTATGCAGCTACCCAGATACACGAACTTCTCGACTACTTCTATCTGCTCACCATCCAGGGTGAGTACAGGATTAGAATCCCCTCAGTCTTGTAGAAGTACTCTGCACTTCGAAGGTGCAAAGCACATACCATACCTACGGACACTGATTGCCAACTGATGAAGTGTGGATTGCATGACTTGGGCATTATCGCACAGCAAGACAATATCATCCGCATACTCAAGGTCGAGAAGTCTTTCTCCAGGCAACAGATCCACACCACCATTACTTACATTCATCAGAGCTGTTTCCAGAATGTCATCGATGGCAAAGTTGAAGAGGAATGGTGAGATTGGGCAACCCTGCCTAACCCCACTGCTCGAATAGAACAATGGAGAGAGGTGGTTGTATGCCCTCACTCTGCCTGAGGTGTTTGTATATAAGGCTTTTAGGATGTTAATAAACTTCTCAGGCACACCCTTCTTCAATAGACAATCCCAGAGAACAGTCCTGTCCAACGAATCGAAGGCAGCCCTGATGTCTAGAAACACTACGATTGTTGGCCTGTGATAAGTATGGCGGTGTTCTAACATTTGGCGGAGGGTGAAGATATGATCAATACATCCTCGACCAGAACGAAACCCAGCCTGCTCCTCGCGAGTCAATCTTTCTCGGGTTTTGAACAACCTAAGAAATATGACGGAAGCCAATAGCTTGGACGCAATCGGAAGTAGACTTATCCCCCGATAGTTGTTACAGGAACGACGTGAACCCTTTTTAAAGATAGGGACAACTATCGACTCATTCCATGACGTTGGTACACTCTCTAGTTCCCAAACCTTTGTAAACAACGTCGTCAATTCCCTAGTCAGAAAGTCACCACCATCTTTAAAAAGAGCCGGAGGTAAGTCATCTGGGCCAGGTGATTTGTAACGCTTCAAGAGTTGGAGTTCCTTGCGGACTTCCGCCTCATTTGGTGGATCAGTCGTCACCGGCCATGGAGGGCAGGACAGTCTGACCGATGTTGCCGGAGCAGCAGGCCAGTTAAACTGCCCTTCGAAGAATTCTGCTCATCGTCCAAGACGTCGATGGATGTTAGTGATTGGTATCCCATCATCCTCGCAGATTGTTTCACTCACACCAGACTTCTTGCTGCCAGTGGCTCGGATGAGTTGGAAGAGCTTTCGGCAATTACCAGATGCAGCTGCTGCTTCCAACTCATTAGCACGCTTCGACCACCAGGCTTCTCGGTCCTTACGCAAGCTTTGCCCAATTTCCTTACGTAACATCCTTCGTTTGTGATCAAACTCACGGTCACCCGGAGTAGACCGACGGGCTTCGATGAGTTGTAAGGAGCCTGAAGAAACCCAGTGCTTATAAGCGGGACGTTTCGCAAACCCACAACTGACTGTACCCGCCATTTACATGGCGTCATGCAATTGCAACCAATGCTCATCTATACTTTTCGGTGGAATGGTAGCTAGCCTAGAAACTAGCTCGGTTCGATATTTACTAGCAACAGAAGTTGCAACCAACTTGCTAATATCAATCCTTTGGTGGTGGTCACTTCGTTGGCCACTGAAAAGTAAAGTAAGATTGGCGCAGACCAAGGCATGGTCAGAGTCCAGATAGGTACTCCAAAAGGAGCGGCAGTCTTGTACACAACCACGCCTGCGGTAGCTGATCGCGATGTGATCAATCTGAGTCCAGGCTTGAGATGCAGAGCGAGGACGCCAGGTGGCACATCGGCGATGACTGCACCGAAAGTTAGTGCTGGCCAGAAACAGGTTGTGGTCTGTGCACAGTTGCAGTAGACGGTCCCCGTTATCTGTCCCGCGACTAACTAGTCCCTATAGGCCACCTAAACGACTCTCTTCTGTGCCTAGACGCCCGACCTGAGCATTCAAGTCTCCGGCTAGTACTACAATATCTGTCGAACGCACTTTTTGGAGAACAGTTAACTGGTGATAGGATTCATCCCTGATTGCATCCGGGCTGCAATCTGTCGGGGCATAGGCGGAGGTGACGAAAAGACATCGTTTCTCACGCCGATTTCTTCTCACTTTGATGGAACTTTCTAATCTAACAGCACATAACCGACTGTTAATGGGGATCCAATCGATTAATGCTGCCTCAGCTCTAGCGCTTAGTGCGACACCAACGCCAGCAAGACCAGACGAAGATGCCACAGGGTCCCCGGATAAGCGCACGTAAAATAAGCTTTTTGAAGTGACAGATAGAGAGCGAATTTGTAGTACTTCACCAGAGTCTTGAATACGGGTCTCGGATAGACAACAAACGTCGATATTAAGACTTTCCAAAGACATAGCCAGCCCTATCTGTTGTCCGACCTGCATAAGTGTGCAAACGTTGAAGGCGGTCAGTTTGAATGGTTCACGTGGTCTCAAGAAAACTGCTTTAGCATTCGTATTTGGATGGTAGCATACAATTTTCAACCAGGCAGTGACTCGAGAACGTTTAGGTAGAACCGACTTTCCACCATAGGCGAGTTGCTGTATAGGTCGAAAAATAAGGATACATAAAGTGGGAATAAAAAAGAGTGAATAAATGACGTGGTAAATAATAATAATAATAATAATAATAATAATAATAATAATAATAATAATAATAATAATAATGATAATAATGACAATAATAATAATAATAATGTGAATTGTTTGACTGTAAATCGAAGCGAGAATAGAATTTTCAGTAAATATAATCATTTTCATTTTATTTATGTGTGGGCTGTGATACTGCCCAGGTGCCCGGACCGAAACAGGTGGTTTTTTTAGGGGACCACACCCCGAGCCTTTGACCTGAAGGTCTGACTCACAAGGCAGTGGATCATCGTGAGGAGATGCAGTCCCCTGGTAGCCGGTGACCAACGATTGGTTCATACGCCATTTGTTCCTTCAGGATACTGGAGCCCATGTGCACCATTGGTTTGTGATCCGGTTAAAGCTCCGGACATTCTTATTTTTATATTCCGATATTTGTAAGCGTTTGTCTGACCCATAAGCTGTTGTTATGTTTCTTTATTGTTAAAGCTTTACCTATTGAATAATTGTTTCGTTTTTATATCACTTAT